GAGACTTCAATCCTTTCTTACTGCCTGAAAACCAACAGCTAACCTACCTTCAAGACCACTGACTGGTGAGGGGGGGGCGGGGTGGGGGGGGGGGCCGGTTTAATCAACATTTTATAATATTTTGTGGCCTTTCTATTTCCAACGCCATTCTACAGGTCAGTGGAATAAGCTTGTAAAATTATAAAAAGTTATCCAATATTCAACTCGACACCGCCCGCCCGAAGGTCCTCGTCTGATGCAGGGGGGCCTTTAAACCCCTTTGTGGAGTACTTGTGTGTGGCTCTCTGCTGAACGTGACCAACCTTATTTGCTCTGCGTCCTGGCACTGTGCGTCCTGGTTGCTCCGGCTACTCATTAGCCTGAACATGGCGCAGTGCAAAGTCTAGGTTTAGTCAGGTTTAGGTAAAGATTCATTCACTTATTTTAACATTTACAATTTATCATTACAATTTCTCTTTATTTTACAATTTAACAAGAGTATAATTTTGTATCAACATTTTTTAATTTTGGTCAAGGAAATTCTCAAAAAAACTCATATTGAATAAGTCTTACTTGAAAACTAATGTTCTTGAAAACTAGAATGACGCTTAACCTTTCTTTGTTTTTAGGAGGAATGAGATTCTGCGGAATTTAACTACAGAGACTGAATAAAAGGTTAAGATGGACTTTCTTTTGTAGTAGGCTACTGATTTTAGCTTTCAAACAATCAAAGGCCAGAAAATACAGGTTAGAATAATTGCCCCCAGGCTTGAAGATTGACATCTCTCCTCCCCTCTCTAACATCCTTTCTTGTGAGCTTTGTTATTAAACTGCTAATGCAAGTGCAAAAGCTGTGAAATTATTTAACAGGTGCACACATTAACCAAGAACTTGTTTCATACATTTGTTTTTTAATTTTTTCACCAAGAAGCAGCAAATCAGCATATTGCATTGTTATGAGCACAACCACGTCACCCCTACATGCAAGCACACATCGCAAACAGTTGGCAAACATACATACAGTACATAATACTTTATTTCTTGTCAATGAAGTGTTGTGGACCGACCACCAATATTCATTTCCGCCTAAACTGAATTTGCTCCATACATTCCAACAAACCCATGCCTCTCTCTGCACGCTCACACCCATCCTTTCCAAACACCCAGCAACACATGTACGCATTGGCGCACATACTGCAAATAAACTGTCTCTAACGTAGGGACGTCAGCTATTGCCATCTTTCCACTCGCTGTATTGCGTCACTGCATCCTGCTACATACCCCAAATACAACGAGGCAGCATGCTAGTCAAATAATGCAACCCAACAGACTTTTGCACACTCGTGTGAATAACACATCACACACCCATCTGCTAACTTTCTACACTCTCTTCCAGGAGGCGGTAATTTATTGCTCTCCCACTGCCATCAGCAGCAGTCAATCAACTAGCCAATTCAAACGCGCACCATAAGGTCCTGCACGCGTTGCATCGCTGGTGTCTTTGGACCGGGCACATCAAAACACAAACACTAGTCAACGCGTTCACTCGAGGAACAGGCATCAAGTCAGTATCTTTCAGCAATGCCACAAACAGGAGGCGCGCGATACTTCAATCAACCTGCCCACACAACACCTAAACCACCTCCCGACACTCTCCCAGTACTGCTTACAATCACAACTGCGCTAGTGTGTTTACTAGCTGGTAAGGAGAGGGCCCTCTTTTGGGTCTGTCACCCGGGCCCTGAAGGGATTTGTGAGCTGTGCTTTGGTGTGTTTGGACTTTGGTCTGACTATATATAGCAGCCGTGAATTGGCCCGGTAAAGGGCAGATCATTTATCGCACACATATATGAAAAATATATTCAATAAATATTGTATTAATCTATCACTGCAATACAACCTCTGCTTGCAAATGCTCTGTTGTTGTTTCTCGCCCTAATTGCACATTTAATTACACTTGAACGCTAACCTAAAAGACCCTTGATGGCTGCACAGAGATCTCCACAGTCTTTTTCTGGCTGCACAGATACTTCTCTAAAAACCTTCCCATTGAGAGAAAGGGACTACGTCTAGGAAACTAGCTGCTTCAGAGATTGTAGATTTCAATCTGGTGACATGTTTGAAAGAGTTGTGAGTAATAGCGGGAGATGTCACAGCCAAAGCCAGCACTCATATAACAACAGACAACTGAAAAATTAAAATTGTGTCCCTGCAGAGCAACAGCTGCAAACACGGAGGAATGAGTGGACGTTAGTATCTGATTGTTATATTCATATATTGTGCAAATATTATATACGCTTTGATAACAGCAGAGATGGGAAGTGCACTTTCAAGTTAAATAAAAATGATACGCCAAAAATAATTTACTTGTTAGTTCCTTTATTGACAGACGAAGTCTTAGTTATAAGCTTTGCAAGTAATATTGGAATTGGGATTATCATCATTGCTATATTTGACACTTTCAGTAGACTGAATTTAAATTAATAAATGTTTTGATCTTGTCTACAAAAGGGCCCCTGTAATCTGCTGCCAATTCCTTATATGTAAAGGAGGAATCATAACAAGAAATGGCCAGCGATTAATCAGTGCATTGATCTTTCAGGAGAAATATCATCATAAAAAAGTGATTTACTGAAATTAAGACTACTTAAATACCATTGTTAGTGGAGCCCCAGGATGCCACTGGGACCAGACAAGTAGAGGAACATAATTGTAGCATTTTAATAAAACATTGATATACTAGTTACTGTTGAGGTATTTTACTTGATATATTCGCATTTTATGCTTCTTTAAAACTTGATCTGACAGCTTAGGGGCGGGG